AGTCCCCACTTCGAAAAGAGGCAACGGGATTGTGGAAGCGTGAGTAGAGCCGCATGCCACCGAACAATCAGCCTCTTCACCGTATAATTCAAAGCGTGCAGAACACGCAGGGCCACAAACCGAGAATTTGCAGTTTGGCAGGTGGCCTTTGCGGCCCAGCGAGGCTAGAATTCTTGGAGTCAGCTTTCGGGAAGAAATTCCCGTCGTCAAGGGGTTAAACAGCCTCAACAAAATTCATATGCACAAGCATTTGCATTGCTTAAATGGAGGAAAAACAATATGTCCAGTTTTGATTATGTGTTTAGGCTTTTGGCATATTGGTTTTGGCAACACATTATTACATGTACAGATGCAGAAATGCAAATAGCCGTACAAATGTCGTCGAGTTTTCCCATGGTTAGTGCACAAACATGGATGAGCTCAGCAGGCTTCACTTAATATAACTCTGTGAATGAAACTCCCCTGGATGTGCAAATTGGATTTCTATTTGGCGAATCTCAAGAAAAAGAAAAGCTCACAGGAAGGGATACAGGATTGTAATTGTCTGCATTTTGTGGCTCGCTTATCAACTGTTCCGAGCGTCGCCTTATAAATCTCACCGCCTCGTGCTCTGTTTACATGGCTTTTTCCTACCCACCTCCCTCTCTCCTCCCTTTCTCTCACAGGTCATCCCGAGCCACTGGTGTTCCATGTGCCCCAGGTCTTCTTCGACCTCCTGCAGCAGCGCATCGCCTTTGGCGGCAAGAAGAAGCGACTGCCCAACGCAACGACGGCGTTCATCCGCAAGGACGCCCTCCCGCTCGGAACTTTCTCCAAGTACATGTGGCACCTGACCAACATTTTACAAGTCAAACAGATATTTGACACAGAAGAGGTATTGCTCCGTCAAGTGTAGATCAAATTTCTTCGAAACGCTTATCCGAAACCGAACCCTGACCTTGAAAATGCATCCTTAAAATGTCCAGCAGCTTCTGAAAAACAGAAAAGCACGTCCATGTCGCGTCATACAAAACTTGGCTGTAATATGGAATTGTTTTAGCTGGCTGATCAGTTGATAGATACACCACATTATATTCTTGAATACATTTATATAACAGTTACAGAGCGTGGGCATATTGCAAACTTAAGTTTTTCGTTAGATTGAGCACAAGAGGAGCTAACAGTGGAATGTAAAATGACTGTGCCAGTTGACCTTAAGCTTATTCTTTGTATCAAAGAGGTTTGTAGTGAAGATATTTTATATTTGGCACCTCGGAATGCCAGAGTATTTCCGGTACAGCACACGGTGTTAACATAATCATAATGCCAGTGCTGTGCAGTCACAGAATCGTGCATGCTAAGCATGGGCCGTGCTGAGCACGACCAATAATTGTATGAATAAATACTCGTCCCTTGTGCGATTGGCACCCGGCTGAAATGACCTGACCAGCCTCTCTCTTCTCTGTCAGTGAGGGGGCACTTCTACACAGAACAGATACTGCAACCTTGTGATTTTGAACATTATGTTTCCCGGAGAGAGTTTCACTGAATCGACCTAACAGAGAAAGAGTTCAAAGATGCGTAGTAACTCGGCTATCTTGAATAAGTGACCTCGGTCTGCTTCCTCCATTCTTCCTTCTAGGTGCCTCTGGAGGTGACCAGGAGCTTTGTGGAGAACAGCAACGGGACATTTTCCCTGAATCCTTCCCCAGCCCGGCTGGAGCAGGACCCCTCCACATACCGGAAGATCAACGGCCAGGTCCCCATCAAACCATTTGAGCTCAAGACGTACCTCAAAGTGGGTGAGTAGATTCAAACGGACAGCGAAGCAGCCAACTGACTCGAACTGGTTTTATTTGTCTATTTTGTTTGATATTTCCTACTTGGACATCCACACGCACGTTCCCTTGCCCTGGATTCAAGAAATGATATTTTTGAGATGCATTTGTGTCTCAGTTTTCTTGTCTTATCGCAGTGTTTGATAGAAGTTCGTTTTGCACCTTTGTCCATAACTTCCTCTTTTCCATTCAAATCTGTGGAAAATCCACAACTCAAATGTCTCTAGCCTGACTTCCACCTCCCATCATTTGTCCACGTTTCTCTGTTTTTGGTCGTTACAGGAAAGTGAATCATGCGAGCATTAAACTTGTTTGCCAATCCTGTTAGATGGTTCAAATTTAAAAGGCTCATTTGGCTGTTGCTCTCCTGTGTGCCTTGTGCATGAACAGGAGAAGACAAGGTTGTTTAAAACACAGCAACTGTGTGATAGCAGCATGTGAATACAAGTTCACGTACATGCGATACAGAGCGTGCGCTATCTCGTTTAGTAGAATGCCTGGTCTTGGCATGGCACCATACACATTGAAACGTGACCTACAAGGCCCTCTCCTCCTTGACGGTGGAGGTGCGCTTATGTTCCGACCAGTGTGTTTGAAATTTGCCGTTTGATTGATTGACTTCCCGACAGGCCACACCACCCCCGACATGACGGAGCCCACGCCCTTCATCATCGAGTGGATCCCAGACATTCTGCCCATCACGCACATCGGCGAGCTGCGCATCAAGTTTGAGTACGGCCACCAACGCAACGGACACGTGGAGAAGCGGCCGCCGGGGATGAAAACTAGCATGGGCCAGCAGACGACCATCACTATACTGTGAGGGGAATGCCAGTCACCGGCAGGGCTCGTGTGTGTCCATCAAGTCAATGCTAGATGTGTTCCGCTTTGCAAACATGTAGGTGCGTGCCGACAAGAGGGCACAGCGTTAACTCTGGAATCCTGTTTTGGACACACCTGTTGCATACAATCATTGGCTTGTGCCCGTGTCATATTCCCCACTTATTGCACCCTGTTGTTAGGTGTGCCCATTGGTGACAGTGAGCCACTTTTCTGCTCTGTTAGTTTGTGCGGTAAAACTTTTCTTTTCTCTCTCTCTCTAAATTTGTCCAGGGGCGCTCATTTCTTCCGACACTTCAGAATGTTTTTTTTTTCCTGAATTCCCCACAGTACTCAGAAAGTGTTACATTGTGGATGTGGGCTCGGACCTTTTGACACATTTTGTCAATGAAGACTCAAGTTCTACTGCCCTCTTTCAAAAACTTTATTTTTGGCAAATCAGTCATGTCTCAAATCCCAAACTGTAGTGTACATTAGCTAGTAAGCCACATCTGTGAACAATCACGTCTTCTCTCCTTTCACGCTTCTACTGAACAAATAGTGAACCCGAGTTTCCGGCAAGGCTGTCAGTAATTATACAGTGCCCTTCGAGTGGACTAACAGTTGCTTTGGCATTTGGTGTATTTAATGAAATTGAAATTCTCGATGTAACAAGGGGATTGCTCTTCAGGCCAGAGAACTGTCTTTCCTGGAAACAGCACACGGATGCCTAGAATAGTTCCATTTGTACTCTGTTATTTTACCTGGTGTAAAATTATCAAGAAAGGGAATTTGTAAATTGCAAGGTTACAAAATTCTCAAATTTTGTTTTAAAAATTCAAAGGGTAGAAAGTATTAAGTTTTTGAACGTTCGTGAATTCGATATTCAGCCCGTCACGGAAACTATGTACATAGTAACTTATAGTGTGCTTCATTGGCCAGTGAACTGTACATGTGAATTATTACTTTGTGAATAATGTACAGAAAAGTAGCATATTATTGTTTCCTGTGTACATACTGAAAGGAGAGGTCTGGAACAAGCTTGAAGTTGGAAAGACGGTCAATGTTATAATAAAATTTGGGTTTTGTTTTGTTGTCAAAGGATTAGACTTCTGTCAGCTTGTCTTTGGTGTGGTATTTCTGAGTTTGACGTTTTCTTTTTAAGGATGCTGTGAACACACACACCCCTTTTTCCAAAGAAGCTCTACCTCTTGAGAGGCGAAGTACAGGTGAATACTATGTTCAGTACTTTGATGTAATGAAGGCAATACATGTCTGCATGTAAACTTGAAATTAATATGGGAACGCCTTCAACCGGTAAACTTCTGTTGAAAAACAAACACAATCAGTGTATTGATGGGCAAGATTAAATATGCACATTTACTGTAAAAAAGATCTCTCAAAATATACAAAAAGAATGCGTGTACAATAACTGTAACTCAAATTCCACTTATTACTCATTATCAGTGGATTCTAAGCCCTCTGTGACTTGTTCAAAGTTGGGCAGAAAATCATTTCAGTTTGTTGCACAAAAGTACACTACAGTGTATTCAGCAAAAATCAATTTATCACATTGCTGTTTCAAATTGATAGATTACCTGCAGCATGACTACAGCTGCAAAACAACTCCATAATCCGTCAGCTGTGTCTGAATTACTTGGCTGTGGCTAGCAATATGGTGGTCTCTAGCCAGCGGCTTCCGTGCATTCTCCATAGGCATGTGTGTTATTTCCAGCCGTTGGCAAGTAATTTGGACGCAGCTTATGACTGCCTCCTTTTTTTTAACAATTACATAGCATTAATAAATGAATCTGAATTAAACAAATTCTTAATAGATAACTCTGAATGCTTCAAATATATAATCAAATATTTCATTTTGGCTAACAATAATTTGGAAGAAATCTGATTTGCAATATTTACAGTGCAATGTGCTTAAATATTCTGTTGTCACAGTATTACAATTTGACACGTGTAACAAATAACATGTTTTGAAGGCAAATCAACCGCAGAATGAAAAACAGTACAATTAGATTTTAACAAATGACACCTGCCAAGATATAAACGGAACATACATGACTTTGAGTTGAATTTGATTAGTCTTTACGTTGCAAGTCTTTGGCATTTATATCATAATGAAACTACAGCTACAAAAACTGCTATATACACAGGACAACTGGACTTAAGTATCAATTTCCTCGTTCGTTTTTTTTTTCTAATTGCTGCAGTGACTTGACCTTTAATGCACACTTGTTTTTGAAGTAAAATCAGAGAACTAATTACAGAATGATTCATTTTACGGCATTTCGAAAACCCTGACAAAAGAGTTTTACAAAGTATGAAAGGTTCCACCAGCATTCACAATGATCCGTAGGTGTTTTTGCGAGCAAAGTCGGGGTTGAGCTCCTCATAACCGCTTTCCCTCTTTGGCCGTGTGCACCTGTAGACAGCGATCACCAGTACAATGAGCCCGATGACGAATGTCACGATGAGGATGGCCAGGCCGACGTAGAACCCCACCTTGGTGAAATCCGTGCAAGAGGCCTCCGTCGGAATCATGTTGGTGGCATTGATCATGAAACCCAGGGACCAGCCCAGCTCTTTGCCTTTAACCTACAAGACAATGACGCTCATTTCAATCACAGGCCTAGAAGCCATTCCAGTCTCTCCCGCAAATTGAACATGGAAGTTAAGTGCAATTTTTTCTGCCAAGGGCCGGATATTACAGCAATGTGCCTTGCTGAGGGACACACACAGGATAGGTACAAATATTTTTCCTGCAGTGTATGACAAAAGAATAATTGTCTGCCACTTGCAGCTATGTATCCTGCTCAGGGACACTTGCATTATTATCTCTGGGCCAAAGTGAGATCAACACTCAACAGCCCAAGTCTGACAAGCTGCTTTTTTTTTTCAGTGCAACTCTTGTAACATGTTTCGTTCAAGGAAGGAAACAAATTGGGTCCAGTTTGGAATCTGAGAAATATTCACTGACTAAAAGAAAAACTCCAGAAATGATACCTCGTTGGTAAATGTTATCTTCCAAATGTCTGCATCAAACTTGTAGCCTCGAAGCAGTAAGGTTGAGAAATAGGTGAGGTCAAAGCAGTACAGCACAAGAAGCTGCAGGTTACCCGGCATCTTTTTGACCTGGGGGAAAAAACAGTTTACCACAGACCCATGCGCTGATGACGTCACACTTTGTATACAAGTGCAGTTTTCCATTGAGCCAGTAGAGGTCCATGGTCAACCAAGTACCATAGCCAAGAACACTTGTAAACAAGCTGTCACATTATCAGTAGAGAGGTCCATTTTCTCACATCAGTAAAAATGAAGGAAAAATAAAGATGTGGTCATTTTTTCAGATTGTGTTTCATTATTCTTTCATTATTCGGTGATTACTTGTCTAATACAATCGACTCTCGTTGTTACCAAAACGGCTTTAACCAAATTCCAGTTATAGCAAGCACACATCTGTGGTCCCGGCGAAAATGTGCACATTTCTATGGGGGGGAAAAAATCTGCAAAATTGCATTGTACGAAATTCCTGTTACAACGAAAGGTTTTCATGACTCCCTTGCATTTAAAATCATTGTTGACGACCCTTTTATGCAAGCATTTATGAATCGCGGTGGTGAAACACGTGTGCAATGCACCACACTGGTTCCCATCAGGCCAAACCGTTACCGTTATATTTAATTAATCGTAATTAATCATAACTGAGAGATTTGGACATCATTAACATCAACCTCGTTCACATGTATGCATGCAGAGTACATGTAAATGCACACTGTACATGGCACTGTACACAATGGACCTATTCATACACTGCGTTCCGCCTACAACGAATTTCAGATACAACGAACATTTTCATTATAACAAGAGTTGACTGCAGACCTCTATCATGGGGCAGCCATATTGCTTTTTTAACCATTTAAAGCAATGTAACCAAAATGAGGCTTTAAGGACAAGTAGTCTGTTCCCTTTAATCAATAAGTAAAGTTGTATTACTATTGCCAAGGGGTCTACAGGGAACAAGACAAACATGGCAGCATCCTGATAAATGTCTATACAAGGGGTAATGTTCCAGTTAGTAACTTTCTCACAGAATCTCTAACCCTTGTACCACATAACAACATCGCATGAACAAACACTGCAGGAATTGTGCAAAAACCCTCAAATTTTAATAAAAATGTACATTAAAAAGCATGTGTGCTTGTTTCAGTCATCAGATGTCTGTCGATTACTTATTTCATTTTAACGTTCATCCACAGGAGAATTTTATCCTGGACCTGCTAAATCCAATCAAAGCAGTCTTTTGTAAAATGAGATGCCCGTATCGTGTGTTCCGAATTGAAGTGGGGTTTGTGTCAACTCGACTTTTCAAAATTTCAGAGTTTCCGAAAGCAATGATGACTGAGTCTCTTTCACAAGCTAGAACACAGCGTGTACACCATTAGTGAAAAGGAAAACACAACAAAAACCAAACGACTCACCTCGTCATAGGTTTTGGCACAGAAACTTTTTGTCGTATTCTCAATGTGCTGAACGGATGCATCACTGGGAAGGTCAAGATCGCTTATAAGATTGGCAAAAACAGAGAATGCCTGCAATGCAGAGTACAGAAGAAAAAAAACACTCTCTGTTGATAGCCCACTCTCATGGCCTCGGAAGTAAGTTTTTTCCTATCCACTATTTACATGAGTAATTCTTGGAACCACGTTAGTAACTGGAATGTTTCTCAGGAGAAAAAGAACGGGTGGATCAACACCTCAATCGGAACTGCTTAGTTCTGCGATATCCTGGCCGAGAGGGACTGCAGGGTCTGACCGTCTCGCACAAACTAATTCCCTGCCCTAAAAAAAAAAACAGGTTTGCCAATCAATTTCCCCCCCCCCAACTGAAATTACTTCTGCAGATGGTTGCTACAAGAGGCGGAGCCACATTGAACAAGTTCTATCCTTCACAGTTTGTGCCTGAAAGCTTTACATTACGATTAGCAATATCTGAAATCCAAAATGAACACAACTAACTCCCATGCAATAAGGCCCTGCACTGAGCACTTGCATTCAGAAACTTGCACATTGGGACTTGGTCCCTGACGATTTACCCTCCCGATCATTCTGTAAATCCTGTTCCTGCTCCCAATGGGTTGGGCCACTCAACTTTAAATCTTTCATCAATATCTGTAGACATATAACTTGACATATTTCTGATCAACTGCATATGAGATTCATGGTTACATTTGGGCTACATAATCTTAATGCTTGGAACTGTGAGGACAGGCTCTTTGGTAAACTTATAGGGGGACATGTGGCCTAGTGGTTAGGGGCTATAACTTCCAATAATAGGGTAGGGGTTCGAATCCTAGCAGGTGGTTACATGTCGTGATAATAGGCAACCCCTACATGTCTCTCTCCACAGGAGT